AAAAAAAAAAAAAAAAAGCATTCAGACAGAAAATTCTTACGAAGTTTGCAATTTGTTTCTAACAGTGTATTTAAATACACAAATCTCCGGCCCCAGGCATTGGTTGGTGTTGAATGCCTGCAGACTCCTTCTGGGCTTATTTAAAGCACTAACCGTCAGGCTAAGATCTGGTCTCCTTCATGGCCCCTGCTTCTTGCATTTAACCAGGTTGACATCCGATGGTTCTGTGTGAATTCCCTTAGACCAGAGGTTGGCAAACTCTCTGTAAAAGGCCAGATGGTAAATATTTCAAGGTTTTGCAGGTCTGTGGCAACTACTGCTGTCCTGGCACAAAAGCAATCATGGGCATCCATAAATCAATGGCCACAGCTGGTGTTCCAATAAAACTTTATAAAGCCACATTTGGCTTGAGGGCCATATTTTGCCAGCATCTGCCTTAGACCTAAAGGGAATTGCAATAAGAGCCCTGTGGGAAGAAATAGTTAATTGCTCTTCTAGAAAAGCAAATTATTAGTGGATTCACATTCCAACATGTACAGAAGTGGCTGAAAATATTTCTAATACCATAATATTTCTTGACTAGGTCAGATTAGTTGCATGAACAGTCCTAACACTTCTATTATAAAACAGATACCATTGCCCAAAGCAAGCAAATCAAGTAACGGTTACAACGGATCTACACAGGTACTTTGTGTTGTAGTGCCATGGGGGTTTTTAATCTGTTTTCTGTTTTGTCCTGCAGGTCTATTCCTTATCCTTGGTTTGATCCTCTACCCTGCTGGCTGGGGCTGTCAGAAGGCCATAGATTACTGTGGACATTACGCGTCTGCCTACAAACCTGGAGACTGCTCCTTGGGCTGGGCCTTTTATACTGCCATCGGTGGCACAGTCCTCACCTTCATCTGTGCTGTCTTCTCCGCACAAGCAGAAATTGCAACCTCTAGTGACAAAGTACAGGAAGAAATTGAAGAGGGGAAAAACCTCATCTGCCTCCTTTAGCTTGGAAGAGACACTAATGCCATTTTCTTCCTTGAGTAATCTCATGAAACAGTCCACTTCCAGGTTCCTCATTTGAATCAAGTGGAGAACTAGCCTTTAGCTACCAAAGCCACATTGCACAGTCCCAGGCCTTAACAGGACCCAGAGAGGCAACATCCAGCTAAGCAAAGTTACTGGACATGAGGACTGCAGTGCAAACTATAAAGGATGGAACATGAAAGTAGTACATAAACTCTTACGTGTAGTTGCCAAGTTCTGTCGGACTCCATGTCCCCCAAGGCTCAATGAAGGATGATGATAGAAATTATTAAGGCAGCAGTGTCTCTGGTAATGGAAGCCACTGTTTGTCAAATTTGCAGGCTGTTTCTGCTCCAAGGCTGCTTGTCTGGGAGCATCTCTGCCTCAGAATGAGGTTTTTGGGTTGGTGTTTTTGTTTTCCTCCTAGTCCTTTCAAGTTGTCTTGGTTGGAGACGAATGGAAAACTACAAACATGCTGAGGACAGGATGTGTGCTAAAGGGACCCACAAGACTCTAGCTCTTGCTTAGGTGACCAAAGAGCTTAGCAGGGACGGTATGGAATCCTGCTGTGAAACTTAGGCTGAATTCCAGGGTAAGGTGGATCGCATGAACTATCACTCTAAAGAATAAGGACCTGTACAATCATATGAGAACAAAAGTACGTAATCTCTTACTAGTGAAGACAAATTCTTTCCTCTTCCCTCGTACCAGCCAATACTGGCCTAATCTTCTCTTCTATGGGAGGTCACGTGTTTCTCATAGGGTTGTGCTTTGACTGCCAAAGGAAACCTCACTCTGTTTCCTCCTTCCAGGGACAGAGGTCTCCAAGCCAGCTGTGGCTCATTCAGATGGTCAGTGGGAAGACTTGCCAGAATTTTGGCCCTTGCTAGCAGGGAGATCTTTCCTCCCTATTTGGTAACCATTGCTGTAGTCGGCAGTTATTTCCAACCTCATCAGTAGCAGAATGGCATTCTTTGCAGGAAAAAGCAGCTAGTCATAGGAGTTAAGTTGATGCAGCTGAAGCGTTGCATCGGAGACTTAATCCCAGGAAAGCACAGAGTCAAAGTTAATGCAAAAACAGGAGCTAGACCAAGGTCAGCGTGCCTACACCTGTTTACAAAAAGAATCAAATACCACTATTATAAAGGATTCAGGAACATAGTATGCAATAGCCAGAAATAATCTACTCTGTCATTATGTGAGCTTCAGAATTGCAGAAACACTCCTTAGCAACTTAAGTGAGGTGGACCTGCCGGATTTCTAGAAAGATTATTGAGGCTTTGTTTTAAAAATTTAACAAATAATTACTAAGCACCTTCTATGGGCAAGGCAGTGTGCTAAGTATGACCAGGTATACAATCCTTACTCAGATTTTACGGACTTGCCCCCAGTGAATCATGTTAAAGCTGTGAGAGTCTAAAACCATACCTGGGTGCAAAACAAATAACTGCTTTATTATGTCTAGATGGAATGAGGCAACTACAGTTTTATTACATTTTGGCCTTTGGGCTATACCAGAAACCATCGTATCTCACAGATTAAGGACAAGCAGGGTGGGAGAGAGAGAACCACCAGGCCTTAATGGGTTTACCATTCTTGAACCAAAGTTCAGAGTAAGAAAGGTGTAAATCCTAGGAGTTTTTTTGAAGAGAGAATGGGTATCCTCGTAGCAGGTGTCTTCATGGCAGCCTAGTAACCACATCTCTAACACCACAGAACCAGGCTCTGGGAACTACCAGACAAGGCTCCTGTCCCTGTTTGTGCATTCGTAATGTTCTAACCAAGTCTGTACCACCATAGTAACTATTTTTCATACCTTGGCAATAATTTTCATTAAAAGCAATTCCCTTCATCAGGCAAAATCTTAAATTTTTCATCAGAAGATTGAGAATCCACATTCTAATACTGAATTTGCAATTTCAGTCTCCTCATAAGCCCAAAGGATCCTCCAAGCATGTCCATCATCTGCTGTTTACTGAGGTGGTGGTGAACCCCTAGATCTACCTGGCAACAGTCACAAATGAGAATATGACCTCTCGGCCAAATAAAGTCACTTGACAATGTTTATTTCATTAATTTGAATGCTACCGAAGACAACACATGCACAAAACCCCAAGTCACTAAAAACTACCTAAACACTGAATTCCTCCAGCAGAGACTTGAGAAAAAGGTAGTGTTGGGCCTTTTAAACCTTCACTCCCTTAGGCTTTAGGATGAAAGGACCATCTAAAGTCATGCTAGTCTAGACCATACTCTTGTACATGGCTGTTTAAAAACCACTGAGTATGAGGGATGTGCTAGAAAGAAATGTTAAAAACAATTAGATTGTTGACCCACACTTATTTTTCTAATAAATAGGACCATTACTACTACCAGAAAAGTCTTATTTATTTTGCCTGCATTTATGCTTCAAGTTTCATGATGGGCTGGGCTTCTCAACAAACTCTGAGGCAGTAATATTTGCCTTAGATTCTGTGGATTCTTTAAACCTGTGTGCTAACTCAACAATGTTATGTTGTGTGTTTTTTGTATAGTTTTCAGACATCTGTGGTGTAATGATCTTTGTTAAACATGTAAAGTGCCATAGTCTTTTTATGTGTAGCATATTTAAGATAATATGTCTATTATACATACACAAGTTCGTGTGAAAGATGTGCAATAACAAACGTGTATGTATGCTTTTTTTTTTTTTTTTTGAAACTGGACAGGAGTCAAAACAGGGATGTTTCTGTTTTGGCAAAGG